CTGTCAGGGCAGATTGCACCTTTCTCCAGGCTAGCCGCACAGGCTAGAAAAGTGGCCTCCAACGGAAGCCCAAACTCGTGATCCTCATCCCAACCAAGTCTGCAGCAAGGCCACAGCCAGCGGCGTCCTGCCACTTGCTCAGCAATTCGTTTTTCCCTGTCACGAGTGATTTGCTTCACCAATCTCGAGCACTCATTCCACAGACTTGGAGGGACCAAAGTGGTCCTATGAGTCCTGCGGTGACCCTGCCATCCCGACAAGCAAGGTCTTGCATCAAATTCTTGCTGCATTCGACACAGCTCTTGATTGAGGTTTAATCGCCAGCCTCCGCTACTCGGAGCCATTGTCTGGAGAGGGATCGGCCCACAGCCGGGTGGTGTGGTTAAGCAGCTCAGCTAACGAGGAAGCTCCCTAACTTGAGCCGTAGCAGCAACATTCCGTTCCGAATTTGTGGCATCCCTGACGGGTGGTCGGCGGCAAGTCGATGCGCCATTCTTGGAGTCTTAGACGTGCCAAACTTGAGGTGAAGTTGTCATCCCATATGACCTTTTCCAAAACGCGACCTGAAATATTGCAGGTGCCGGTCGGTCAGGTGATAGGAGAAGCTGATTGGACAGGCAAGGACTTTTCCAGCAATGGAGAGGTGCTTGGCCTTTGCAAAGTAAGCCACTGACCAAATTGGATCACTGCATAGGGAGGCACTCACGGCCGTATGAAGGCTCAGCCATGAACATATTTATTGCAATGCACATTTTCAAGGACTGGGTAGGTGTCAAGCCGATGCTTTCAGGACGAGTGACACAGGGCATCAATCTCACACACCCGCACAGACAAACGATGAAATGTGCGTCCGACTTTCTGCGCGATGTTCATGGGAAAGTGCGCTATTCGGCGTGTCTGCTATACTGCATTGCAGAAATGCAGCAGCAGCAGAAGCAGCTTCGGCAAGTCCATAACAGACTCACAAGCAATCGCAGACAAGAAACGACTGTCTCAGGAAAGTGAAGAATCTCCACTCTAATAGCAACCAGCGTGATCAGTACTAGAAGCAAGAAGATGACCACGACTCTTCATGTCCGGAGAAAGGAGGTTTTGTGGGGCTGCTTCGATGTAAGCATTGGTGGAAGATGTGTCATGTGTTCGTTGGCAGCTCTTGTCAGTGATTTGCAACCTGTTCCAATTGACACTGGCAGTCACTAGCCCCCGCTTCCCGCTAAGCATACCTTTGAAGAGAAGTACACCTCGGATCTAGGTTCGTTTTGACTGGAACGTCGCCGGAATGCAAGAGACGTCAGAAGGAATACGAACGGCAAGGTGGTTGGGCGATCTTAGTCTGGAAGATGAGCGGACCCCGCGTTGATGTTCACGTTTGCATTTCTGGCTTTGATTCGTTGTTTGTGCTGATTCCACGAGTAAGTCTAAATTAAACAGTGTCTGAAGGCCCTGCTTTGCATCACCACACTGCCAGATTCTTTGAGATAAGGCGCCATTCGGAGAATCTCCTTTTCCAGGCCATCGTGGAGCTCTTCCAAATTGCGGAAACCAATTTCAGTAAATCCATTGCGAAGCCCAGACAGGAAGTAGAGCAGGAATGCCTTTGTTGCGTCAACACACCTGAATCGCTTTGCTTCAAACAATGCCGTGCACAACATTTCATGCAGCCGAAGCTCCCGGACCTCAGATGCATGCACGTGCCAGCGTGATGTCTTCGGCATGCTCTTGAGCCTACACTGGTCAAATTGCGCCTGAGGCCAGCTCGGAGCCCTTGTGGCACACAGGTGTTGCAATGGTGCATTGCACGAGCTCCTGAAGCTTGTGTCGGGGTGTCTTGCGTTTGTTGGCGTCTTTTGTTTCTTCTTTGGCGGAGCGAACGAATTCTGTCCTTGTAAAGGCTTGAAGGTTGAAGGTTTAAGGGAGAAATTTTTTGGCGGCAAAATCAGCCTGAGCTCCAGGCCTATGCACTTCCTCATCCCCACTCAGTAGGCTGGAGTTTAGGGTTGGGGAAGGTTTCGACGCGCACGCTCGCACAGGTAGGCACAGGCACGGCTCCAGATCAACTCACCCACTTGCTACAGTAACATGAAAGAGCGGCGCACCGAGGAGCAACGAAGACAGATTTTGTTTGGGCGGTTTGAGGGTTTGATTGTAATGCTGACAGCTTCAAGTTTGTATTGGCCGTTTAAAGATTTGCGGTTTCTACAAGGTTCCGACTTTAGTCAGGTCAGGTTTAGGGTTTATTTAGGTCGGCGTGGGGGCTTAACTTCGAGGGATTGCGGGATTAAGGTGGGACGGCTGGAGTTTGGGGCTTGGGTGGGCTGAGCATCTTTTAGTTCAGCAGCCCCGCGCATCCTGCTCGTGACAGTGCTTGATGCTCTTATTTGTCATTATGTTATATTATGCAATGTTTTACTCTATTATGCTATGTGATAATGTACTATATTATGTTAAATTTAAATATACATGATATTAAATATATTCATTTCTATATGTACATACATGTACTTTACTTACTGTAAACTTTACAGATTTATGAATACTACAGTAGAGACTACCAATACTGAACATAGCACAGACACTGTAGATACATACATGCGAAGCAAAACTATGGACGCTACAGGCTATAGATACTATCAAGACTATAGGTTCTGTCGATACTACGCTGTAGACACTTGTACTATAGATACTATCGTTACTACAGACACTTCAGGTACAGTAGATACTGGATGCTGTAGCCACCGTAGCTACTGAAGATACTATAGAACTCGAAGTCTGTCTTAAACTCTCTCTTCTCATCAGGCCGGGGATGGGGCCTGTGCACCCGCCTGGAATGCATGTGCATATACATGCATACACGTAGGATATGTACAAGTACATACGCATACATAGATACAATACATATGCATATCTGAATATATATATATATATCTCTCTATCTATCTAGATTACATATACTGGCTTGACTTGGGTTCAGAGGGCGTGTGGGAGTTGGGCGGCTTGCCCCCCCCTATGCAAGCATCTTCGTGGGCACATGAACAAACACATGTATGTGTATGTGTATATGCACATGTAAGTGTTTATCACGCTCTCTCTCTCTCTCTGCGTATATGTATATGTTTATACATGCATATGTATGCGCACACACACTCACAAACGTGATAAACACTTACGTGTGCATATACATGGTCACCGTCCCCAAATCTACGATTGCGGGTTTCATACCATCTCGTGCTTACATATACATACGTGTAATTACACTAGTCATAAGTACAGAAACCAGCGTAAATATCGTTATTATCGCTTGTATCCTCGAAAATACACAACCGTGCGGCGAAGCATCTTGTGCCGACACATCGACAAATCTGCAGCCGAATTTCGCCCAACAAAAATAACACTTCATGTATTCGGAAAGCCGAAACTGTCGGAAGGTATTGCGCGCCATTTGCTGTGGTATTCAAACACCTCGTTCTTTTTGCATTTTTCGGTCGTGAAAGAACTGTAACCGTACATCACGGGAACTGTGTATCTCTCTCGGCGCTTGAAGGTGCGCCCCCACATGCTCACATGTCACACTGCTACACCTGCCCAAAAACGGTGGGCTTCTCCTGGCTTTCCTTATTCAAATCATTGTTTTTTGGGTATGGTAGAGGGTATTCTATAAACTGAAGGGTCTCCTAGAAGGTATTCTAGAGGATTATCTTTGAGGTATATTTAAAGTATACATACGGCATATTACATAGGCGGTCTTCTGTAAGGTATTCTACTACAGGGTATTCCAGATGGTAGTCTATAAAGCATTCCTTAAAGTTGCCTATAGGATACATAAGTCTTATATCAGGTATTCTACAGGGTATTTTAGATGGTATTCTAGAAGGAAGGCTTGGAAAATCCAGTTGATGTATTACCTCGAGTGAAAGCAGCTTGCCCCATGAGTTGAGGCGATCCGAGCATTCTTCCACCAGCCATCCACGCATCGAGGTTCCAAATCTCGTTTGACCATGTAACCTTGGACGACCTGGACACGCCAGGCTTAAGACCTGAAGGTGCTATCGACCTCAGAGCCCCACATTTTCAGGATTTCTCTGTTCCCACTGTACGTCTGAGGTGTTCTTTTTCTGTGGGGAGTGGATGGGGAAGGAAGGCCAAATAGAGCCAGATGAGGGTAGAATCCAGTTGGGAGACGCACCTCGCAAAAAATTTCAACAGCGAGCCCCACCGCACCGACATAGCATCACATGACTCGGAGTGAGTAATGAGTCCGGCATTGAGAAAAGAGGCATTGCTCTTTGTAATTTGTGATGGCAGCAGAGAGAAGACTTTGCCCAACTCATTTTTGTCCGAGGCTGTGGAGACTGAAACATGATCGCCGTGGCGATGGACATGCGAACCGAGCGGAGGAAAACCTACAGTATGCAAGGCAGAAGTGGTCCGAGCATCAACACGAAGATGACAGGAAAGCTGCTATGATGTTGCAAAGTCGGTCACGCATGCCTGCAGGATTTCCGTTTCTGGCTCACAGTGGGAAATGCGATTAGTGCATGCCAGCAAACTCGAGAGGGGTTATTCTTCTATATTGCCCATGAACGCCCGTGAACTTGGCTGACCTCTTTGTCAGACCTGAATTACCCGCAAACAGTTAGACAGTTAGATGGTATGCTGCTCCAAGAGCAGTAGCAAAGGAGCAAACAGAGTCCCAGCAGCATCCATCCGCAGCTCATCATGTGCCATGGTGGAGGCATTTCTTTATTTGAGCAGGAAGGGATTGGTAAACACCTAAACGGCGTCCGTGAAGTCCAAGGGGGTTGTTGGCGTGACCCTTCACCTGGAGGAGCAGGGTCAAGTTTGACACCCCAAAATCCACGAAACAGTTGCGCTGGTTGGCTTGACGGCACTGAGCTGGTGTGGATCTTGCTGGCATGCTGACATTTCAATTTACTCACATTTCAGTGACCGATTGTGACAGCTCACCTGCTGAACTCTGAAAGCTCCTCCAGGACTTCTTGATGCAGCAGGGGCTCTGCCAAGCGAGAGCAGCAGCAGTAGCAGCTGCGGCACTTGCTGTGCCGGCTTCAGCTCCCTCAGTCCCCTACTCTTTCGACTCTTTCTTCATGAAAGTTCTTTCAGCGTCCCGCAGCAAAGGCTTTGCCCAGCAGAGACGATGCTTGCTCTCCAAGCGAGGCCCAGCGATGCATCCTCTGTGATCAGTATGAGACTCTTGGCAATTCAGCCGTTTCAGAAAGGCTCAGCATCTATTCGAAGCCGTCCAGGTGAGTCTTGCTTCTCAGCGGCTGAGGCTGAATTGGATGCACAGTATCCGTGCGGAAACTGGTGTGAAACTGGTGCGGTAGCAGTAGCAGTGCCGCATTGCTGATAGTTTAACATCAGCTGCTGGGCGGCAGGTTCATTTGGGTGTTATTGCCGGAATTCTTGGAAAGACCGACTTCAGTGGCTGCTGCAGCTGTCGGTAGCTAAGTTTTTTTCAATGTGGGCCTTATGGAGCATGACAGACCATACTGCCTTCGAGGGAGCAAGCCGTGCCATGCAGTCTTTTCTGTCAGAGCAGAAGAAGCTGCGGGCCACTCCCCCAGATGTCGTCAACATGCCCATATCTTATCTCTTAGGCCTGGGGTCTTGGAAGCTTGCGGAGAACGACCACGTCAGATTTTGCGCTTCAGCCCCACAAGCGGCTGGCCGATGACTGGCGGCAGAAAGCCCGGAAGCATGAGTGCTCTGGCTATTCGAGACGTCCCGCAGGCTTTCTCCATATGTAAAGTCGCAAAGGAAATGAGTTTCCTTTCGGGAGTGAGCACAGAGATACGGAAGAGGCAGGTGCTGGTGCAGCAGCACGGGGTTTGGTACCGCAGTCAGCGTCTTTGAGTCTTTACTTAAACATGAAGCAGCTGCCGGCAGCACGGAGCTGACACTCCGTGAAACGTCGGCTGCTGTGGCAAAGCATTGTGGCTGGTCTGGCTACTCGACTTGCACACACAACCGCCGGAAAGTGCAGCTTCGCATGTGATCCAAGCCACCTGGAAGTCAATCCACTTAATTGCGCCACACCGAATGCAATGAATCAGCGTAGCGGCACAAAGGCAGGGCGGGTGCACGACGAGCCAGCGCACAAACTAATCAGTTTGTTTTAAATCTTTGTCGCCGCTATCACTCTCCGCAGCAGGCCTGACAGCTAAGCTCCGAACCAAACTTGAAAAGCGGTGTCCTTTTGAAGCTGCCTGGACACTGACTGAGGTAAGCCATTTGAGCCGCCTCCTTACTACAAAGTTTGTAATCTATGTTCTCCACTCCGAATTGGGGGCTGCATGCCACAGTTGAGGCCTTCATCCGAACTCCCTCATGTTGGAAGGTGACCATTCGATGCATTCCTTGAGGCCCACATGTGTCTGATGAGATTTTGCGCGGAGGGTGTCTTTGCCCACTGCATCGGGCCTGTAAAGGCCAGCCCTAACTGGCTGCTTGACGAAGGTAGGGTGGGCCGGCGCACTTCACAGTCGCAACAGTCAGACAAGAGCCATGGACGACTCGAAGGTAACACTCGACAGCTTGGTCAGCGCAGGGGTCTAAGCCAAGGCAGCCAAACAGCCCACACCACGATCTCCGCTGTTGTTGTAAGGTCCAATTTCACATGCCCCGCCTCCTTGATGTTCTAGCTCTTTTGGAAGGACTGGGCGTACGATGGCTTGAGCACCAAAAAGCTTGACTCGGGCTTGGTACAGTCCAGGATTTGCTTGCAGCTCGTGCAGGCCGGTGGAACAGTAGTGCCGTCAATGGGTGTACACTCATCTTCTGTCCATGGGGACAGGTGCTTGCGCAAAGTCGTTGATCGGCAGCCGTGGACTTGGATGGGGAGTGGAGAGCATTGGTAGCGGGAAGTGCGACAGCAGATGCAGTGAAGCGCATGCAGAGACTAGACGAGCATCAGTCAGTCACGCAGCTGTGATAGCTGCTTCCATGTGAGACCGTTGCAGGTCCCGATGGCGTCCGAGAGAACTTCGTTTCGAACTCATGGAGGCATTGGCCCTTTCTTGCAGCTCTTGGCCCGTTCCCTTGTCCCCTCTTGCCAGGAAGATCAACGTCTCTATGCTGCAACGGTCGCTGACTTGCTTGGGCCTCTGAACCGGCAAGACTGGCAACATATAGCCCGGTCTTTCAGATTGTTTCGTTAGGTTGGGTTCCTTGCCAGCTCTGCAGCACTTGGAAGGGCCGTCCACTTACATTTACGACTGCACTAGACGTGCAGTTATGCCCAGAGCGACAGCGCTTGAGCAAAGGCCAATCTTTTCTGTCCTGCTGCGTGCTCGCAGGCAAGATATGTGATATGTGCGTAAAGTGGTGGCGTGAGATCGTGTGACAGGCATGCTGCAGTTGCAGCTCGAGCAGAGGCTGGAAGTTGAAGTCTGCACTGCATCTCAACCGTGACTCTCTTGCAGTGTTTGCTGAGACGACCTGATGCCAAAATGAACGGAGTTGGCAAGTGAGCTTCAGCGTTGTGGCATGTATAGCATCCGAGGCGAACCTTCACATTTCCAGAGGTCTTGTCGAGGGACGTGGTTGGACACCGATTGCAGTTCCTCTACAGGAAAGTGGTAGATTGGGCGCACGCATGGGTCCACATGACAAGTCTACGGCCACCGGCAGCGACCGAAGCATCGGAACATATCAGAACCGTGCTTGTCGTGCAACACGACAAGGCAAGTTCTGGATGCCTCGCTGTACCTCTGTGGACATCGTGCTCCCGCAAGCAATCCCTCTAACAGCGCAGCAGGGGCGCAACAGCAGAGCGAAGTGCACCGAAACCTTGCAGGGGGCTAATTTCGGAGCTTCCCTCCTGTGTACTTGAATTTGTCCCTTTAAACTTCCATCATGCATCCATGTCATCTGTGCACAGCGCATCAGCTGCATAAGAGATGCCACTTCCCCTAGCAGGCGTGCCTTTAGTTTTTCCAGATTTCCTTGGCACTCGAATCGTTGAGTACCTTCATTTCTTGTTCATGTTTTAACCGGGAGCTCGAGTCCATGGAGGGCTGCGTACAGAGTCAGAGGTGCAGGCTTGGCACCACAACTTGCCATCAGGGTGACGTGTCGGGCCTCTTACATTTCCGCCAGGCACTAGGTCGCTGTCCAGGCTCCTAAACATAAGAATAGACACAAATCTTGAGCAACGTCAGAACAGGATTTACTTCCGACCGACAAAGCACCGGGAACCTCAATTGGCCTGTCCAGAGCAAGCCTCGAAAAACGTGGCGCCCCAGGCTCCAGGCTCCCTCGCATCCCATAACTTTCGCAGCATGTGGGAGGCTGCGACTTCTGCCTCATCTGCCCTAGACAGGTGCACAGTGCCATGTGCCAGCTTTTTTCATACACTGTTACAGCTTTTGTCTTAAACATGTTGCCCTCTGCTAATGCAAGCAGGGGAGAGCCAAAAGCGCAAAGCATGCCAGGCACACTGCTGCTTTGCTAGGAAGTGACTCGAAAGCGCAGCCTTGCTTCTGTTTGACAGCAGCTTCTTCCACGAGGGCGCCCTGTTTGCCGATAGTCGATGCTGGACCGCAAACAGTCACCGCCAGCCTGCATCTGCACCGGGCATGCCATGCACTGCAGAAAATGTTTCTTGCGCTGACGGAATTGCGAATGCCGAATCAACCTTCCGACGACGCCATTCGGATTCTCTTGCAGTTCAGGGCCGTCACATCGGGAGCGGCCGGTTCCCCTGTCGGGTATAGCTGGACGTTCGCTGCGGAAGTCGCCAGTATCAGCAAAACCAAGGTCTGCGTGTCTTGCACTTGGTGGACCTCTGTGCTGCAGACCTCAGCGGACTGCTGCCCCATGGAGCCATCCCAGAAGGACACAGCATGCAAACAGTTGACTTGATATTGCAACTGTGGATATTTGCAAGTGCTTGTGGTCAAGTTCAGGCTACTCACAACACAGCGCGTCGAATCCATCCTGCCGAGAACTCGGGCTCGCATGCGCGCGCAGCCGCTTCCTTCGAAGCACTCGCATGCCCTGTTTCAGGCCCGAATCTTCACAAACTTCTTCTGCTAGGACCTCAGTTGTCGGATCACAGGGGTCTCTGCTGTCGCTGAGCACAAGCAGAAGGCTGAATCTGCCAGCAGCAGCGCCAGGTCTCACTGTGCAGGCATTCCAAGAGCTAGAGTTTTCCATCATGTCTGAGTAGCCGGCTCCGTTTTTGTGCGCCAGGTGGTCGAAAAATTCCTGTCAGCATCTCGGGCTCTGCGAATTAGGCACAGATAGAAGCCCAATCACCATGAGACCCAAGGCCGCATGCGCCCGACCTCAAAGAGCTGCAGCATTGTGCTGAGTTCAACTAGCCCGCGAAGAATCACAACATCCATCCATCTGAGCATCCGGCATGCGTGTGCGTGCACGCAAAGGGTTCCATCGTTTGTCACTGCAGATCCGCACCAAAGGCCGGTAGCCACCAGACTGAATCCAACTTTGCCTCGCATCCAGGTTGGACTTCCAGTACTTTGACCCAGGATTCTGGGATTTGGAGGCGAAGCATGTCTTCTGCTTGTGGTCATAGCTGCAGCGGCCATGATGTCCCAGAGACTGTCGGAGTAGACGACGGTCAAGCGCGCCGTCAGAGGCCCTCGAGGCCCTCGTTGCAAGAATTCAGGTCGCACTCTCAGAAATGGCAAGGGCAGAAAGCGGAGGAGAGAGAAGGCTTCCCAGGCCTAAGAGCCGGGGTGTGGCGAAAGCACTTGCCCTTGTCCGAATCCCGGTGTTATTCAGAGCCTTGCCCTGCATGGGGGTAAGGATGCGAGAAGAGCGCAGTCGATCCAGCTGACCCGAGCACTTCGATGTGAAGCGGGACCTAGAATACCTAGAGGCTCAAGAGCGGGCAAGCGGGGCCTCGCCTCTCGCCTCCGAGGAGCGCCGCGCGCAAGGAACGGAGTAGGAACGAACGGAGGAACGGAGGAGCGCTTTTTGCCCAGTGCGCCATCGTGTCCCTTGCCGGTCGGGCTCGGTGTGAGTCGGTGTGCAGTGGTTCAAGGGGTGTTGCGTTGTTTGTCGCTTTGAGGCGCGAGAGCCAGACAATGATAGATGCTGCACCTGTTTGTGCTGGTCATGTTCACGATCCTTGTACGGTCAGCGCGCGAAAATGCACGAAATCAGCACTCGCTCTGACCAGCCTTTTCCCTTTCTCGCTCATGATGGCATCGGGGCGCATGCATTCGTAGCTTCTCTGCCCCGCTGTAGTGTTGTTACAGAAAAGGTTCACTGAAAGAGAGTTTCAAGGGTTTCTCCCCGGTTGCAACAACAGCACAGGTTGCAACGAACAGCTCGCATGCAGCAAGTTCGCTGCCTGCTACTGTTGCAGTAGCTGGAGTGAAGCCATGCGCTACTTTGCTCTTAGGCAAGATGCTTTCTGTGTGCTCTTTCCCCAGCGGATCGCCTTCAGCTCTTGTTGAATATCCTTCCCTCCACGCCGAGTGCTGCAAAGGTATGTCCTAGGACATCGAGGTGTTCTGAACCCCGACAGTGACTGTCATGGTTATTTACCTTCGCTAGGTCGTTTCGTGGGGCTTGGAAGTATACACGCGCCTTGCAGTGCACTGCGAGAGGGAAGCAGCGGGCCGCCACCGAATCAACAGGCACAACACAACAGAAAACAGCCAAGTAAAACTGATGAGTGTGGCAAAACGTGCTGACATAAATCTGTCTCGCAAGCCAAGGACATGCGCACTTGCAGAGCTCAAACAAGCAATCGGACAGGATTCCGTACACTCCCGAATACCGCCTCACAGGGCGTGCAGAGAGACGTGTCGGGTCTAAGTGTGCTTCAATTTCATTTACCTAGATTTATGGTCCCTCTGGAGGCTCTGAGGCACTGCTGGCAACACAGGAGTTCAGGGATCGGGGGTGACCCCGCAAGAGCTCCCGAGTGCAGCATTCAGCCTCATTGGTGTGGGTTTGCCGTGTTTGTTCGGAGTCCTGAGTCGCGCATGTGACCTCCGGCTGCACTTGGTAGCAGCCTCGTGCCGAGCACGAAAGAGGTCACTTCCAAGATCAGCAAGTTGGTGCTGGATTGGTGTCGGCTTGGTGATGCCGGAGTTCGATGTGTCTGTGCACCACTCCGAGCTGCCAATTCACTGCCGACATGTCTATGTCGACACGATGAGTTCAACCCTGCTTACAGGCAGCACTGGCCAAGCACACCAGCAACTTTTGCTTGGCAGTGGCCCCTGCATTCGGACGTTGCCCATGATTCGACATTCGATCCACGATTGGTGCTGTAGGCACAAATCTGAGCCAAGGCCGGCAACCACATCGGCGACGGCCTGTGCCGAGAGAAATGCGTGGAGCTGCAGCCACAGATGCAGAGAGAGAGAGAGAGGAAAAAAAAAAACAGGTGAGTTCCAAGTTAAGGGGGGTCCCCACAGAGCTTGGCCGTGTCTCATCTTGTCGCAGCTATAACGCGGACCTGGAAGACCAGTGCACATGCGTGCGCAGGGAGTGGTGTGCCTCTCCTTCGGCTGAGTTGACAGGTGAGTTATCCGAAACCCGTGAGACGTGGGGTCCCAGCGTTTGCTAGGCAATGACAACTAGAGTAACTGCCGAACGAAGTCAGGGGTAGGAGACGGTACTTCTCTGGGGGCACCTTCGTATGATGTTGTCCTTGATGCTGTGTTACGACTAACTCTCCTCCGGTGGCAGCGCTGTACGTCTAAACTCCCTGCTTCCGTTCGATCCACTCCAAACAGGGGGTCACTGATGCAGAGAGGAGGGGGTGAGACCCCTTCCTCGGGCCCACAGACACGTTGCCCCTTAAGCTTGGGAGAAGAAGAGACGTTGTGGTGCTTTCACGCCTTCCTACAGAGCCCCAAAGCTTGGGTGTGCCATTATTGGCCCGGGAGTCTTGAACGCATGCCCCCGCAGCCAGGGCGCGTGCACCCACACCCCTGCAAGCAGAGAGCTAAGGGGATTCGCGCAGTTGTGATGACAAGGGCCTCATCCTTCTTAGCTTTCGTAGAGGGACTGAGGAGACCAGGGCGGCTCTCAAGTGTATATATTTTCTTTACGCGAAGGAAGGACGCCCTCCTGCACCGGCGGGAGCCTGCTCCCGAAGACAAACAATACTCGTACCTCCAGCAAGTCTCCACTGCCTACAAGGGGGAGAAACGACTCTGGGATGGCCCGACAATGCGAGCCAAGCTTCGGGGAGATCTTCGGGAATCGCCGAAGAGAAACAACTTTGAGGAGGGGATGGGAAGGTACCACACGGAAACAGGAGAAGAGCACCAACGTGAACACGATGACCCGCTCAAGAGCAAGCAGCAATACCGAACCAGCGAAAATCCGACCCGCGAGTTTATAGGGGGCGGACCAGGTCCAAAGAAGCGTGGAAAATGCAAAGCAAGCTTGCCTTCCAAGCCCGACGCCGACTTCAGCGGCGACAAGGACACGGAGAGTCGGGGAGGCAAAGGCAACAGGAATGCCATCGCTGAAGAGAACGAGCCCTTGGTGAGTGAGATGAGCGCCGGCATGAAAAAAAAAATCAGTTTGTAGAGCATCAGCCATCATCAGCCAGAGGGGAGGAGTTTGGGACTTCTCTTGGTGAATCTTTGGTTGGTGGTTTTGCTCTGGGGGATGCCATAGATCACTCGCTCCCGAAGTTTGGACAAAACAGTATCACACACATTGGCACAACGGGGAAAGAATAACCGCTTGTTGTGCCCTAATCCTGCCGGGCAGCAGAGCCAGATCCTATTGCCGTGTAGGACCTGCCTGCCGTATGCATTTTTGCCCTCCCTTTCGAACTCAGATTGAAAGATTTCTCATGGGAACACCAATGAGCCTCACACATCCAAATGTGGGGCCGGAATTCACGAAACGAAGACGATACTTTCCGTGATGCTTAATTAGAGTCCCCATGTCTTGGGGAATGGCATGACTCGTGTTGCTTCACGATGACAAGCCCCGGTAGAGCGGTAGCCAGACAAAGAGGGTTCAGCTGTAGAGTTGTTGGTTACTGTGTGGCTTCCGTTGTGGAAAACCGCAAGAAGTGGACCCCGATAAGGAATAATTACTTGTTTGCTTTGGCAGGTACCGTCTGGATCTGAGTGTGTGTTGGTGTTTTCGTCATCGTGTGGGACAGGAAACACGGTTGTCGAAGGAACCGACGACTTGCCGTAGAGTGCGCAGGGATGAGGCCGGGCTTGAGGCTAAAATAAGGTACATTGTTAGGGCGGGTTCCACACAACCGTACTTCCCAGACTGTTCAGACCACGGGGGCAAAAGCCGGCCACTGACCCCAAACACAAACCAAAGAGCGAGGGGGTGCCTCGGCACGGGTCTGCGCGAGCACACGTGCATCCATCAGCAAAGCAAAGCAGAGAGAGAGAGTTTTGGTTTTCAACGTTGTGGCCTTAGCCCGGTCCTCTGCAACTTCTGCTTTTCACTCCCCTTGTCCGTCCCTTTCGCCCAGGACAGGGCGGGGGATACCCCATGATACCCCTTTCCCTAAACCTCGACGCCGGTGATACGTGCCATGCCTGAGTCAATGAGCTCTAGCCCCGACCAGTGAACCCTCGCCTAGGCAAGTCCGAGCGTGAGTGCTGAAACCTCGATGCCGACCCCTATTAGGGTTTAGGGCTTAGGCTAAGCCCAGCGGAAAGAAAGAAACAGAAAGAAAGAAAGAGAGAGCGACAGATTCAAGGATGTCTGAAACCCTTACAAGACCATGGACCCGGCTGCGCGCATTCACGTAGGGCGGGGTACTTGCGTGTGCGCTCCTCTTAAGCCGTCAGCAAGCAAGCGAGATTCAATACGTCGCTCCGCAACAATCGGTGGTGCTGACGCGAGCGGGCGAGGGCGGCTTGCCCTTCTTTCCCTTAGCCCTGGCGAAAGAAAAGAGAGACATTCCATTTTACCAGCTGTTGTGCCTTCGAACTTGTTCTACATGGTTGTCTTCTCACATCTCCCACAAAGTCCTGGAACAGGGGTGAGCCAATCGGCTCGGCGGACGTGTCCCCCGCTCCCCGAAGTGAAGTGAAGTCAGGAAATATGAGCCCCGGGAGGGTGATACCCTTTACCCTTAAGCCTGTAGCAAGAAGGCAGGAGATGAAGCATACAACGGAATACTTGTTTCCTGACTGCAAGCACGTGCAGTCCAGCAGCCCCTCCTCAAAAACAGACGTTCGCAGTCTTGTTGAGCGGTTTTGTGCAGCCCCTCCTGTGACTAATTTCCAAGTGAAGCCGACCATTTGTAGAATCGTAAAGGTACTGGAGGGGGGGGGGTTCTGTGAGTGGACCTATTTCCGGGGCCTATTTAGGGAGAGTTGGGGTCGGGGATAAAAATAGGTACCGGGGGATATGGGGACCGTGGTTCTTGCGAGCGAATAGACCCGAAGCTCTAGAGAGGCACCAGAGACAAAAAGAGTAGAGTTGTTGGACTTGGGAAGCTGCATTTCAGAGAGAAGTAGAGAAACTGGAATTGTGCAGAGAGCGGGCGAGGAGAGAGGTGCAAACCAAGAGGGGTTTAAAACCAGATAGTTTGAGGTGGTGCGCAGAAGTTCATGAAAGATTTAGGGTTCACCTGATGTCACGCACGGCAGAGGATGAACAAACAGAGAATCAGACGAAGATGGACAGAGAGGAGGGAGATCAAAAGGCCAAAGTGCTGAAACCAGGCAGTTCGAGGTCTTGTGATGTCGTTGAGGTTTGTGCCAATCGTTGGTTGTGCAGCTTTGTTAGCAGAGCGATTCTGCAGGCATGCCCGCGCCGCTGCTATAGCCGTTTTTAGTATTAGTTCGTATAGGAGGAAGAGCGGAGTGGACTCCCCAGCCCAGTACTCATTTTGCTGCTTGCACGGCCTTACACTGCATGCCTTCTGCATAAGGAATACCTGGAAAATACAGAGTGTTTTTTACGAAGCTAAGCTACCCAAGCCAGGCTACGGGGAAGCCGGGAATACGCACCGGCCCCACTGCCGCTGTAGACCCCCCGGCCCAGTACCTGATTGAATGCTTTTTACATCAGGAATACTTGGGAAATACACAGCGCCTAAACCGAAGCTAAGCTACACAAGCCAGGCTACGCCGAAGGCGGGAAATAGGTACCGGCCCCCGCCGCCGCTGTAGCAGTTATATTAGTTTGCACAGTAAGAAGAGCGGAGTGGACCCCCCGGCCAAGCACATATTTTGTTTTCTTTCAGGACCTTGCTGGATGAGTTATATGTAGGTCGCACCAGAATCCTATGTATTCATACACATCGTCTATATACCTAGGCTAGGCTACGGGGAAGCAGAGATGGGCATCAACTGCACCCGCCGCAAAACCTTGTTGCAGGGGTTTGCATATAAGGAAGAGTACAGTGGACGCACCTACTAATACCCTTCTCAAGCTACTACCTATGGAACTCTCTGTGGGCTGTTGTATGAAGAGATAGATAATAACAGCCTGGGTTATAGACTTGTGCGGAGGATCTCAACAGGAATACTTGCCCCATCTAGGTCGTGTGCACGTTAGTGGTGGCCAGATGTGCATAGGAGCCCCAACGAAGAACTTATGGCCAGCCGGTGTGGTTCAATTATGGAAGTCCACAGGGTCGGGACGGGGAGAGGGATGCGCGCGTGTTGACATTCGAAACTACTTTGGAATTGTTTGCGAAAGCATGTGGGATGCCTGAAGCTTGGAGCCGCGAAGTGGCCAATCTCGCATCGAAGTCATGAGTACTGTCTTGTGGGTCAAGCTGGGCAGTAAGGGCAGCAGTCGAGTCCCTTGTGAAAAAAATGTGTGATGTGGGACAGACCAGTTGCCGGGGTGCACAAAAACGCAGGAATTTGCGACAGTGCACCCACTGAGAGTCATTAGACCCCCCCCACATCAAAAACTTGGAATAGGTCCAGGTACTTGTTTCCAAGCGTCATGACTACCATTATTCAGCTGGGAGGAGTCTTCCCAGTGCATGCGAACCCCCCTACCTCAAAAAAAGAAAACATAGCGAAATGGGTGCCGGTACCTATTTCCGGCCCCCCTCTTGCTCGTCCACACCCCCCCCCCCCCCCCCATGCGAAGGGGTGGCCCTAGAATCCTTGTCTTCCCTAACCCCGAACCCACACGAGGAGGCCTGTTTGTAACTCGCCGGAGTGTTGGCTACAAACATTGCCTGCCTTTGGTGCTTCTATGTTCTTTCACGCCTCGCATACATAACACGATCCACGATCCATGTGCTCCCTCATTTGTACCTCTGCAAATCGATGCCTTGCATATGCGCTCGCTCTTTGGAGAATGCACCTGAGCAGCGTAGTCCGCCTAGTGAGAGGTCGAAGACAGGTGTGAAGGAGCTGTCCTTGGCTCACTGCGAACTGAAGGAGCGTTGTCGGACCTCCGGATCGCTGGCCAATTACTGTGCAGCTGCTGCAGTCATCAGCACTGCCAGGACCTGACGTCGGTTTGCGAGATGCTGGAGACACCCGGACTGGCGCTCACAAGCTTGGACCTGCAAGACACTTAATCCCGTGCACTGGGCATGCTACGATTCAGTTTGAACTTCGGCCCAGATCAGCTAACGGCTTTGGCGACGAGGAAGGTTTGAAGCTTGCAAGATCACTTCAACTGCCCGCTCCTTACCGGTATTTTCTCGAAGGCATCTTTACATCTCTTTCATGCACTAGCTGGTGGAGAACACGGCAGGTCATCCATCAAAGAGCTCCGCCTTCGCGATTCGCAAGTCTCTGAACGCATGCCAGCCGCGGCCCGGAGAGATATGGTACAGTAGGATATTCTGATAGTCTTTCTGGGCACTTGCGTTCCATCCTTCCGATTGGACTCACTAATTAGACCACACCCGACTTGCTTGATATGAGGTCAAGACTAAATGGTCCTGGAGCTCTTGAAGGGTCTCCCGCCTGCAGCAACAGCTGGACGAAAAGCGTCCTAGCTCGCGACAAGGGCGAGGTGAACTGACAAAAAGAAGATGGCGATGATCCCTGAATGAGTTTCCGAACCTCTGTCAAGCCGTGCAACCGAAGAAGATCCTCTGCCCACTCAGTACACGTGCAAAGATCGGCAGGATGATTGCCAACATAGCACAGTAGCGGTCGTTTCGCGATTAATTGGGGCCCTTTTCTGGTGCTTCACCCTGGCATCGAGCCCAAGCTTCGTAATTCAGGCAGGCATTTCGTTATACAAAGCCCTGAGCAGTTGCTGAACAGCAATGGAGCTGGCCAGCACGCTTGCGAAGACAGCTGGATTCTTGGTGATGTGGTGGCCTGCTGTTCGGCGCTGCACGAGTTGGAGGTGGCAAGTCTTCAACTGAGGCCCTTTTGCGGCAGTCAGACGTGCCGCCATGGAAAGGGGCTGTGTAGCTGCCTCAGTTTTCGCCTTTTTCGCTGCTTGTCTTGCAGAGAACACTCGCTTGCAAACCGTGTTGATGTGCCAGGCAGGTAGGTGGCAAAGTTGCACCACCTCCCAGCGACAGCAGCTGCAAAAGCTGCAGGTCATTCTTCCTCAGCCCATGGCTCTTCACTCCACATTCGGGTGTAGTGGTTTGCGAGGGGCTGGGTGCCAGGAAAGCCTTCAAGCTTACTGGAGCACTGCAGGCGCCCTGAGTTTCTCGTGCATGCAACCACGGCCTTGTGCGTGTGTGTGTGTGAGATTGCTGTAGCACAGCCGGAGGTGATTCCAGCGACGGGGTTGGTTCTGATGCGACGAAGGCTAGAGCCAATCGCTCTTCGCCCGTGCTGTTCCGTTTTGTATGTGTTCCAAGTTGTTCGTTCCTCTGGTCCTGACACTATCCCGACCATGACTGAATTACTGTTTTGGATTTCATCTGACTCTGCGACTTCAAATCCAGCGTACTCACACAGTGGAAGGGGGCCGGTAGCCAGCCGGCCTGGGCGCTTTCACATTGTAAGATCCGCAACTCACCGAACACGCGTGTTGGGCTTGCTCACTATCCCTGTACTTGGCAGGCCTTGCTGCACCTGAAGTAGCTGTAGCAGCGGTAGCAGTAAGACGAGTATCAGCATAAGTAAGATGGCAAACCTCGTCTGTGTTCAAGCTATCTATGCTGCCGCACTCCGTTTCGCTTCTTGTCGCTTGGTCTTAACCCGAACCGGTTTGTTTCCGCCTATCTGATCTGAACATCACGTGCCGGCTGCTCCGTGTCGAAGATTTAGGTCACACCGAGACGACCGACGTTACGCAACTACGACCTTTGATGCGATGGAGATGGCACGCATGCTTGGGCCTAGATTTCAGATGATGTCAGCAATCCTGGGACAACCAGCCTGAATGCTTCCACAGTGGGAACAGCTGAGCTTTTCCGGGAAATGGGGGAGTGCAGGAAATGTACAGGCACTTCGACGGAGTGCCACTTACCGTATGCCGCACAACCACAACAACTTTCAGTGTAGGATGGAGCGAAGAACCCTGACTTGCCCTCTTGGAGCAGAATCAGAGTGTCGGCCCGCAGAATCTGGCCAGCAGAGCCCCCCACCTCTCGGCATGGTTTATGCCGGATGACGATGATACTGGAGTTCATGCTTGGCATTGCGGTTTCAAGACTTCAACATTGGACACTTTGCTTTGGGCTTTCCTCAGGTGGCGCAGGCAGAATGACCTGCGAGGCACGGTGCTAAAGGAACGGAATATCCAACAAGCCAAGCGTGCAAGCAAGTCTGTTGAGGCTACCTACAGCTCAGAGCCGTTGCTGATGTAACCATCAAGGAGCATAGCCACGTCTGCATGCTCAAGATCGTCAAATTGTTTACGGTTGAGAAAGCCTGGGCTTCAACGGCACTCGGCAGAAGCACAGGCTATAGTCCGCAAGCTCTAATGTTGGCACGAAGGTTGGGCTTCGGAAGTTTTAATGCTTTTGCGTCAGCCACATAGACACATGCACATAAGCTGGGCCCTGCTGGAGCCTCCAGTAGCAACTGCCAGACAGGGTGAACTTGCACAGGACCAGTCGCAGCCTGACGACAAGGTGCGGCAAACTTTACAGGCTGATTTTGCCATCCATGCTTTCCCACGATTTTCGTGTACCTGCTGTGCAGCCCGAAGACTTCTGCAAGAAGGGGAAGCGTGTCGAAGTTCTTGCTCCATCCAAGCGCTGGCGCAAGGGGCTCACATCAAAGAAAAAATGTTTACAGATGCCCACCTCTTGAGCATGACCGAGGTGAAGCGCAGGCACTCCGTGTCTTCGAACTGCACTTGCCAATGCAATGACGTATGACGATCTAGGGAATTGCACAAAGAGGCATCAGCACTGTTCCAAGTCTGGGCCTGCGTTGATTCGCCTTTGCAGGTCATCAAAGTTGGAGGAGGCATCGCGCGGGTACATTACATGGGCACAATCCTCAGTTTATGATAGAAAGGGCCTGCAAGGGAAACAAAAACGCTCGGCTCCGAGTGGCCTCTTCTCATGCGCGCGCGTCTCGCGTGGACGTGTTCACGAAAAGTCGCAAAACCCCAGTGACTCTTGTCGACTAGCAACTGGGAAAGCAACAGTAGCTGTCAGCAAACAGAACCGTATAGTTAGAATCCCACAATAGCTTGAAGCAAGACAGTAAACCGCAGTTGGAGTTCTCCAAGATAAGCAGCTTAGCACAACTTAGGACCCCGCTCATACATTTGCCAATTACTTTCCGCAAGGCTCAGCCACACCAGAAACAACAGACAGTAAAACCAAACAGAAAATGCCAATGTTGGCAATTACCCTATTCGGCAAGGCCCTCTCCGTTTTGGGTGTTGGGCTGAGCGACTGGTCTGGCGGGCACACAGGTTGGGACGAGGTCCCCAGTCGAGCTTGTGCTTTTTGTTCATTGCTGTAGGTTTGTCCTGGTGAAGTGAGTGAAGTGACGAGGGGCTTTGCTGGGACATGGCTGACCGTGAGTGCCGAAACACAAAGAAAGCCGAGCTGTATCGTGGGGGTGCGGCGGGGACGGGGCAGAAATTCACAGAATGCGTATCTACATTAGTTACAATAGGCATGCACTGAGTTCAACTGTCCGCCAAGGATACGACTCAATGTTCGATGAAGATGTCCCAATGGAAGAAGGAAGGCTGCTGCTCTAGAAACTTACTTTTAGCGCCTTGTTCTCATCTTGCACCTTGCGCTCAGCTTGACTCAGCCTGGCTCGAGCAGAGTCCCGGTGTTTGAGCCTTCGGGCCCCATGCGGCGCCCGATCCGACATCCAGCCTCATAGCTGCGTAGCCTTCGCGAATGCAGCTAGCCGGGGCCGCAACTTTCGATTCCATTCACGGATCAGACGCTTGCACGGACCTTACTTGATGCCTTCACGGTCGTGCTTGACATCACGTGCGTTTTCAGAAGATCATTCGAGATTTTCAGGTATCGCACCGTTTGCTGGCTTGGACGTGCTCCGATGGAGAAGAGTTTCCAGGACTGGTAAGCCAAGCACGACTAAAGTTGACTAAAGACCGGTTTCGAAACTGGTTGGAGACTCTCACTTGACACGTTGTAAGCAACAGCACAACTACGAGGTCCTGGCTATTTGAGGTAGGCAAAAAGCATTAGCAAGGAACAGCGGTTTGCGTTCGCAGCCCTTGTAAAGTAGTACACGACTCTTCAGCCCAGCTTCAACTGCATTGGCTTCGTTCATTGCGGTGTGACCTGCCAAGAGTCTGCCCTGGCAGTTTGCCACTGCCGCCAAGCTCGAGGCTTTCACATGTAGACTCGTGGCTAGTGTTCTTTTCAGCCAGCGGGCAAGCAAGCGTTTGCGAGCAAAAACAAGTGAAGGGCGAACTACTTCTTGGAAGCTGCTGTCGCATCATTCGAAATCTAGAAATCACACGGTGCTGGCAAACTGGCAAGGCCAAACCCCTTCCTCGGTGTTTGTTAATGCTCTTCATCGAGCAATGGTGTTCTTCCAGCAGTAGACTGACCGCATCTCGGTGCAGTGCTTCTCGCAGGTTCGCGAGGACCGCTCAAGCAGGGCTTCCCCACAGAACTCCCACACTGCACAGTGAGGACTTGAGATTTGACTTGTTAATCTTGCCCCAAGATCCCCAAGTGCAATTGGTTCTATCACTTCTGCATTGTCTCTAGCGGTGTGAATTTGATTTCGCTGCACCCGACGAATGATTCTGTGACATGTGCCGTTTCTTTTTCTGTTAGATCCACATGACTAAAGGCTTAGTTTTACATTTTTCTGTGCTCGGCGGTTGATGCTATAATGTAGCCGGGCAACAGGCGCACACCCGGCATGCGCAACAAAAAGCAGAGGCTGCCGATCAGTCTGGATCCTTCCCTCACTGCGGTTTCGGCCGGACATCTCTGTGTCCGGCGCATTCCTCGGCAATCCTTCACAAAGGGAATGTCTTGTTTCTCTCGGCATGCAAACCATGGGTAGTGGCCGAACGCAAGCGACTTTTGGGTGACATGTGTTTCGCCTCCGACCAGAGTGCGTGGTATTGTTGATCGAGGAAATCTTGCAGCACTTTGAGCAGACCAACAATGCGAATACCCCGAACCCCCTGTTTAACATTGATGTCCAGTCCTGGGATTGGCCGTGGGTTCCACCGACAAACATCTTGCCCCAGCCAGATGGCACAGTATCATCAATATCAAACAGGGGGTCCCGAGTTTTGGTGATCGGTGATATCATGAGTCAACATCTGGGCGGTGCAAGTTTTCCCCCATCCACCGTAGGGCGACGTGGTATGGCACCGTCCAGTTTATGCACCTAGAGTTGCTTATTTTGCAAGACATGCAATCAAAGGCAAAAAACGGTTTGGATTCCACGGATGAGGCAACTGCAAGTACTAGGCGTGCCTCATTGTGTTTCGTGGTTCGTGATCATTCAGAACCTGGCGAGCACGGTGGGGCCGCCTCGATGTTTGGGGTCCAATTTTTGCGTCAGGAACTTGG